GTCACATGAAATCTTTGAAGCAAACAAATGATTTCAGCTGCAGTGTTTTGGCACGTACGAAAAGGGTCACGGAAATCTGTATCATCAAATTCATTCAGCGGGTTACTTCTGTCTCTGGGAAATCTTCTTTCTGGTCTTACAGCATCATTGATGCAGTCAAGATAATCCATTTTCCCATCCACAGCCTTTACTCTGAAGTTAAACCTGCCTCTGGCCAGGTTTAATTTAAGTCTTCATTTAGACCTGGATTAGTTCAGGTCTTCCTTCAAGACCGTAGATTATTTAACTCAAGACTAGAACAAGTCTGGGACTACTATAATCTATATCTAAGAAAGCTGTTTCAATAAATCCTGGTTTAAAATGTGATTTAATCTATAACTAAGGCTTAATCCCTGGACGGGAAACTGGGCCAATGTGTTTAAGGTCCAGGTTCTTAGCAGCAGAGAAAAGCAGTTTTTGAAGCTGATCGGTGATGTCCATGAGTTTCCTGAGGGGAATCTAAGCAGCTTCCAAATGAGTGGAGAGGTGGACGTCTGGGTTCTTCAGCAGGTTTGTGTGTTCTATCATGTTTAGTAGAAATGTCAAACCCAAAGTGCAGAACCAAAAACTCAAGACTCGAGTAAAATAGATTAATTCATTAAACAAGAGAAAACAAAAACGGCTGAACAAAGCAGCAAAACACACACCAAATCATAAAAACACAGAAGAACTCGTCCCGAACATGAATGACAGGGAAAAGGACACAAGCTTGAAATGAAACTGGGAGAAAAGACAACACCTGGGGAGAGACGATGAGGATCAGGTGCGAGGAGCAGGAGCTGAACTACATGAAGGGAAAACACAAGTAAAGCAAAAATACCAGAATCACAGAAATACTCAGAAAATGACACAAAAGACATGGATCCTGACTGAATGATTGTTGTGAAATGCAGCTTTATATTTCATTGAAGAGCTCTATTTTTTTTTATTTTTTTTTGATGAAAGAGACAGGAAAAGACACTTCAAAAGTCACCAAATACTTATTTTACCATTTCACAAAGTGTCCTTTACACATTTCCTGAAGCTGTGCTGATGACACACATTTCCAATTTACTATAGGCGGTAGATTAGCATCCTGCTCTGACACATTTCATTATACTAACTGATGAGTCACTTTGATATTATGGTCTTTTGCGAACTTGATCAAGTTCTTGACTCATCAGATATTCTTTTAAAATTTGTTTCAATGTAATTTTTTTGGGTCCTGATCTTTTTTCAAAGATCTTTATCCTTTTGGAATATATGTCATGTTTTTTTTGTTTTGTTTTTTTTAATCAAAGTCTTTTTACTCATTTGTAATTTTGAACATATAAAACACAAAACACAAAGGACATAAAACAAAAGAACCCTCCCACCCTTTCCCTCCCGCACTGGATCAGTCACACATCATAAATAAATTAAAATTAATTACACAGGCATTGACGAGTTTTCCGCATACAGCATAAAAGGCTGCCACGTGTCCCAAAATCTTTTAACATAACCCTTCAGGGTACATCTTATTTTTTTCTAGATGGATATGATACATCACCTCTTTTATCCAATGTGCATATGCTGGGGGTGTGTGGGTCCTTCCAATTGCACAAAACCAGTCTTCTGGCCAGGAGAGCGCCAAAAGCAATCACTTCCTTCTCATACTTGCTGAAGGACATATCCACAGGGACCACCCCAAACAGTGAGATGAATGGTGATGGTGTGATTTAGGCTGACCACAATAAAAGGCCACTCTAAAATGGGCAGCTTTATTGTTCCATGGGGGAGGGTCAGAAAACCAGTCGGTATCTGGTGTGACCACCATTTGCCTCACGCAGCGCAACACATCTTTTTTTGAAGAATTGATCAGGCTGTTGATTGTGGCCTGTGAAGTGTTGCGTTTATATTTTTGTTCAGTATATTTAAGGTTGATGCTTAAAACGAATTAATTTGACTCTTTTAAAGTGGAACTCTAGAGTAAAGTTATGAACAATGATTATCTTACCTGTTGTAGACAGCTTTATGTACAAACTCTGACTAGAGAAACAAACTTGACGAGCTAATGGTGAGTGTGAACAAAGCAGCTCATGCAAATGTTATTTTATCAAATGTTTACTACCGGCATGCTAGTAATTTTGCATTGCATGGTTTCTGTGAGTATGGGGCCCATTGATATGGGGTGAACGGTCCCTATACAAGCGGTGCAAGAGTTTGGTTTGCATTGCCGGTAGTAAGTCGGACCCCTTCAGGGTGGGAGTTGGACTCTGCCAGTGCTGCACGTTGTCACCAATTCTGTTCATAACTTACATGGACAGAATTTCTCGATGCAGCCAAAGGGCGGATGAATTCCAATTCAGTGGCCTCAGGATTCCGTCTCTGCTCTTTGCAGATGATGTGGTCCTGTTGGCGTCATCGTGCCGTGATCTTCAGCTCTCACTGGAGCGGTTTGCAGCCGAATGTGAAGTGGCTGGGATGAGAATCAGCAGACAGACGGCTTGGTGCAGCATCTGCAGGATTGTGGACTCTGTACCGGTTCGTTAATGTGAAGAGGGAGCTGAGCCATAAGGCAAAGATTTTTTTTAAATTTTGAGTATTTTTAAGATGAGAGCCATTCACTTTGGTCTTGGTTCCTCCTGCTTGGACTAACCATTAACTCATCAATCATGCTAGAATGTAACTCTGAAATATCTCAACTTGGAGAGATAGAATGAAGATGAAGTGTTAGATATAAAATTTTCATAACCTTTTCATAGAACACACTTAAAAAAAAAACCTCAACTTTAGGGAGTAGAACTGGAAATATAGCTACATCTTAGCACCAACATAACTGGTTTGTTCCACTTTGGAGTAAGCTATTGGGGAAAGAATCAGTTTTGTTGTTTGTTTCTTTGACTGATGAAGCCTTCTGGATCGAAGGTGAAACATTTCAGCACAAAAAAAAAGAAACTGTCCAGATGACCTGACTGAAAAATGTTGGATTGTATACCTGGATTTATTGAGCATGGACTTTGGTGTTTTTAACCAATTTGACATGACTGTCAACAAGGAAGAGGGCCGGCAATGGAGGAGGGGGCGTGACAAAGAGACGATCTTAGCACCAACATAACTGGTTTGTTCCACTTTGGAGTAAGCTGTTGGGGGAAGAATCAGTTTTGTTGTGTGTTTCCTTGACTGATGAAGCCTTCCGGATCGAAGGTGAAACGTTTCTGCACAAAAAAAAAAAAAGAAACTGTCCAGATGACCTGACTGAAAACTGTTGTAAAGCCACAGGTTTTTTTTTATTTTTTATTACGGGAACAAGTTCGGCCTCTCTTAAAGCAAATAAATAAATAAAACCTCTCAGTTCTGGCTCTTTTACCCATTTTTGTTTTTTGTACTTTGTGGTAATTTGCTTTTCAGAAATTCATCAGCAGAGCAGTCAAATATGTTAATCATTCTACTTTTTGTGGTATTACAGAATGACTTGCATCACCATGCATTGTTGCATTGCACTAATGTTGGACAGTCTTGTTTTGAGTTGTAAGAACTCTCAACAGATACAAACGTTTTGTGCAGGAACATGTTTTGCAACAGGTATACCATTGCAATACTTTCATAGGTCACACAAAACACAGATTGCATACATACATATTTTTTAATCTTGGGTCTGACAGCCTCTGTCCTCAGACATTGAGAAGAGTCAAAGAATACTATCACATAAGACCCATGTCACTGGTGCTTCAGATAGACATGAGCTCATGTCTTTAGTTTCCCCGTCTGTTGACCACTCAGACTTTACTCAAGGAGGGAGAGGTGTCTGTGAAGTGTGAAGCACTCCTCTTTGCACCGTACCATCGTTGCGTCTTTGCACACACTGACTCTAGTTTTTCCCACCCTGCCTCAAAACCACTGCTGTCTTAACCAAATAGTCAGTACTCATTCCACAACAACCCTTTTCGGTTCACACACAAGCAACGAAAACTGCCACACGTGTGCAAGGAGCACAAAAATGTTAATGCTATTCTAATAAAAAAAAAATGAATTGAGTCATCTGTATGAAGTTCGTTACAACCAGAGCTAAAGCTAACGAGTCATGCTCTGTAGAACCGATGTTGTGAATTATATCTTTTTTTTTTTTTCACAAGTTCTGTCATTGTTGGAATGATACTATGCAAATCGTCCCACGTTGACTAAGCATATGAGTTGCAAAAAGTCTTAGAGTAGTTTCAGTGTTGAGCCCTGAGTCAAGTCAGGACGGAGCAGAGTCAGACCCAGTAATATCACTACATTTAGAGAACTGAATGCGTTTGTGTGCCACTTTGACTAAAGCGACAGCAGTGCAATACAACCAGTAAGTTCGTATGTTTCGATTTAAAATGCTCCCACCTCAAGTGATAGTTGGGCTTTATATGTGTGTGACTAAGAAAGATCGCTTTTGCGTGCTTGTATTCTTTTTTTTTTTTTTTTTTGTGCAAGCATGCAATTGCCATGAGGGTGAGGCTGGCTAGTTACGGTAAGTTAGCATACACTGCTGCTGGTAACTGATGTATATGGGTTACGTTTGAGGTTAGAGCATCAGCCTGTTGACTTTACACTGTGTACGTTTTCAGGATGTGATAAGTGTGTTTACTCATTCCAGCAAGCTGTCGCTTGATAGCAGTTATATAACATATTGTACAAGGAAATCAGGCAAATTGGTTCTTTGTAGGGTTTTTATTTGCATTTCTCAGTAGAAAAAATAATAAATACCAAAAATACACATATGACACATATTAAAAATAATAAATATCACATTTTTTGACAGATTCAAGTGTATGACACAATAACATTCATAAACAACAATTGTCCCTAGGACAAAAAAAAAAAAACTTGAGTCTTTGAACAACAAAGACAAGAGTTGGCTGATAAAAACATTCATATTTCTGAATATTATGCACTGGATGCAGACAAGAAGTCCTTTTATCCTCCCAAAGGGAACACAGTGATGCAATGATTTGATGTTTGAGCAAAATTCACAAGTTTCTGTGCCGTTTAGATGCCAGGTATGTCTCAATGTAGTTAAACAACAAGTCCAGCTCCCCCATGGCCTTAAACAGACCTTTACTCTCCATCTGCAAACAAACACGTCATACCTTAGATATTTTACCAGACAAGACAATTACAGATCATCTCCTCATTTTTATTCACGGAACAGAAAAATCAGAACATGTCACTTCTATTTGTGTCATGTTGGCGCTCACCTGAGTGTAAGTTGAGGTTAGATTTTTGATTTCAAACTGTTTTTTGCAGGAGAAATAGTGTCTCTGAAAGAAAAACGAGAAAAAAAAACATGTTATTTCAGTTTGTCAGAATATTGCCCTGAATTTGCTCTGGTGGGTTAAGTCGGTATGCTCAGGCAGTTTGTTAGGAGCTAATTAAAAAGAAACTAAAAAATAAATAAATAAAAGAAACACTGATTCTCTTCTTTCCCTTTAACAAAAACTGTCAAAAAGGGCGAAACGCTTCTATTATTGAAGCAGAAGCCACAAATGTGTCTTGATTAGTTATAATGTTTTTTCTTTCTTTCTAACAAAAAAGGTTGAATCATGTCATCTGGACTTCGTTTTTTTTGTTAAAAAGAAACGTTTCGCCCCTCATCCAAGAGGCTTCGTCAGTCTGAGGCCTAGCCATCTGGTATTACCCAGAAGCCACCCTGACTCTTGTGTTTCAAGCCTGCCTCAGATACCCCTGAAGTCTGGCCTTTTCACTAATGGTTTCAAAAACACAAAGTTTGTTTTCTCAGTCATCCAGGTATATAACAACAAAAAAGGTTGAATCATGTCATCTGGACTTCGTTTTTTTTGTTAAAAAGAAACGTTTCGCCCCTCATCCAAGAGGCTTCGTCAGTCTGAGGCCTAGCCATCTGGTATTACC